GCATGAATGCCCATTTATTACCATCACGCTTGTCTGATGGGAAAAATGGAGCATGGAATATGACTGTGCCATCTGAGCACTTACTAAACATGATAAATAAATGCAACTAAGTCTATAATGCAGAGAAGATGCAGAGAAGACACTAAGCTAAATATATACTTTCATTATGAGATGTCATTACTCATTATCACATTAAACAGCACAGCCATGACAGCTGAAGACGGATCACATGGTCACCATGAACACGGCAGACAGGATCCCAAGTCTAGCCTACAAGACTACAGTTCAGTGTTTCCCCTACCATTGTTTTGGCCCGCCCCCCCCCCCTAAAATGCTGACGAAATCCAGTCATAATAAAGGAATTTAGTGTATAACGCGGAATTTCACGGAATTTTTCAATTTGAGGAAAAAATAGAAAGCAGTTCAGTACACTTGAAATCAAATCGCGATGTAGACTAGTGTGTGTGAATATTAAAACACAAAGACCATTTAAATACGAATCCTGCATGTTCTGTGTGAATGAATGGTGCCGCCGACGCGCAGTTTCATTTAACGTTACCGCACAGACACACTGAAGCACGTGTGACGCTTGCGCTGTTTTTTGGCCTATATGAAGACACAAATGCATGAATTTCCTCTCCAGGCTCTAGATCCACTCTGAAAGTCACTTCGTGATCATTTCACCGCTTCATTTGAGAAAAACTATCATTATGACATAAACACACAGAAACTCAAAAGGTCTTCACGGCAACCCGTCAAAATAAAAGTTCGGTTTAACTTGACAAAAATATATTACTGTTGTACATTAGAATTTAGATATGTCCCAATGTAATAATACACTAACACTAATCCAAATAAATTATCATCAAAACTGAAATTAAGGAATAATCCATGTTTTAATTTTAACAGTAGGCTAAAGCTCATTGTGCAGCAAGTTATTTGACAAAAAGTTTATTTAATTTCATATGATTAAAATTGATGATAAATGATAAAATTTGTGTTTTATGTCTTAATTTTATTACCAGAAAAAAAAAAAAACAGAATTAGTGTGAATTTTATTTTCATATATTTAAAAAAATAATGTTGTATAAGTTTAATGATTCATAATACATGATTTCAATTAATAAAAAATAAAAAAATTACACCACGTATCCGTAACACGAAAAAAAATCCTAGGGGAAACACTGCAGTTTGAGGTAATGCTCAGAATAGACAGATAAAACGATGTTTAGGATGTTTAGAAATGTTTAGTTCTATTTATCTCAAATTTTATTATTAAATAAAAATAAAAAACAATACTTATATTTTTATTATTAACAATAATATGAATACAATTATTTATTAACAAACAAATAATAATAACAATAAAAACACACAACATTCTGCATTGTTTGTTCTATTAGCATCAGAATGGCTCCTCAAACAATGCTATCCACTGCATTGTGGCCCTGTTTACGCCTGTACCAATACCGAAGAGAAGCAAATGTTCACGATATGGCAATTGGACGTGATATACCGTCATACCGCTACAACCCTACTAGTATTAAGATGAGTTTTGGTCACAAGTAGACGAGGGAGACATTCCCATACACCTGTTTTGATCCATCTCTTTTGTCCACTTTCAACCACTTCTGTCCTGATTTCTTAGAGGGGAAGTCTTTGAGCGGGTAAATGTATGGGCTTTTTCAGATATGATCTAATGGACGAAATAAGCTCGCATAATTTACATATGAACACAAAAGGAGACGACATATGGAAACATATGGAGAGCAGCAGTGAGTGACCATGAGTGCGTGTTAGAAATCAATGTTGAGAGACCATGGTTGCTTGGTTTGTTTTTTGTCTTTAAACCAAACTTGGGTCTTCAGCTGACAACGTTTATATCTTGTCTGGCTAGCGCGCTTCCCATAATGTTTACGCATTAGAGTGAGAGTAGGAGAGTAGGTGGTCTTTTGTGGCCGTTCGAAGTCGAACGCATCCGACCGGTGTGGAATCCAACCACACCGAGCGTCTACACTTTGATAGCAGTCCGGTCAAATGTGGAGAAGCTCAAGGCGTTTTAGACCCCATTTAACCTGTATTTAGCGTAACTTGTGCACTCGTGATCCGAACGACCAAAACGCATCTTAATACCAGGTGTAAACAGGGCCTCTGTCTCTCACTAGCAAATACACATGCATCTGACTGCACTTCAACTCTACCTTTGGGACGACAGTGCCAAAAAAATATATAAATATGCATTAACGTTAACATTTCATCAGCTCAGCAGGTTTATTTTCTAGTGTACTTAAGAGGCTCTTTTCAATCCAGCCGGTAAAATTTCGAGACTGTCCTCAGTCACACTAATGCCTCGCTGAGACAGAGTTAGCATTTGCCACATGAAATGTGCCACACATTTCCAAAAATGAAAGCTTGTGTGACCACAAAAAACAACAACACACAAGCTGCATTTAATTCAAATGTTTCTATCACGGAGGATCGTATTGCACAAACAAAGTGTGGGGGAAAACTGCTATGATATTAAAGCACGGGATGCACAGAAAATAAGCTTTGACATTCTTATACTGCACAGGGAAAGTCATGTGACTTTCAAACAACGTTAGATTGCAACTTCATTTTCAAAGATAAATAAAAAAAAATTGGGAAGTTGCATGCAAACCTCAGACAGGATAAACCTAGACAAGATTTTAAACCCAGCAAGTGGCGCATCAGTAAGCCATGGCTTGGTTCTTAAGACAGAGAGTACAAGCAGCAGCTCAATGGTGAAAGCAGAAACAACACAGAGGCCCCTGTAACAACAAAGAGGCCCCTGTAACAACAAAGAAGCAGAAAGCGCTTTCTTTCACCGAAGTTCACTTAAACTCTCAATGAATTGTAGTCTATGGAGGACCAATTCTACCATATTTAAAAATAAATACAGAAATAAATAAATGCTCAATAAATAAATAAGCATACAATTAATTGCCCCAAAAAATACAATAAACAAATAAATGTAGGTAGAAATTAAATTATACAGTGAGACATAAATGTACACTCACCGGCCACTTTATTAGGTACACCTGTCCAACTGCTCGTTAACACTTAATTTCTAAGCAGCCAATCACATGGCGGCAACTCAGTGCATTTAGGCATGTAGACATGGTCAAGACAATCTCCTGCAGTTCAAACCGAGCATCAGTATGGGGAAGAAAGGTGATTTGAGTGACTTTGAACGTGGCATGATTGTTGGTGCCAGAAGGGCTGGTCTGAGTATTTCAGAAACTGCTAATCTACTGGGATTTTCACGCACAACCATCTCTAGGGTTTACAGAGAATGGTCCGAAAAAGAAAAAACATCCAGTGAGCGGCAGTTCTGTGGGCGGAAATGCCTTGTTGATGCCAGAGGTCAGAGGAGAATGGCCAGACTGGTTCGAGCTGATAGAAGGGCAACAGTGACTGAAATAACCACTCGTTACAACCGAGGTATGCAGCAAAGCATTTGTGAAGCCACAACACGCACAACCTTGAGGCGGATGGGCTACAACAGCAGAAGACTCCACCGGGTACCACTCATCTCCACTACAAATAGGAAAAAGAGGCTACAATTTGCAAGAGCTCACCAAAATTGAACAGTTGAAGACTGGAAAAATGTTGCCTGGTCTGATGAGTCTCGATTTCTGTTGAGACATTCAGATGTTAGAGTCAGAATTTGGCGTAAACAGAATGAGAACATGGAACCATCATGCCTTGTTACCACTGTGCAGGCTGGTGGTGGTGGTGTAATGGTGTGGGGGATGTTTTCCTGGCACACTTTAGGCCCCTTAGTGCCAATTGGGCATCGTTTAAATGCCACGGCCTACCTGAGCATTGTTTCTGACCATGTCCATCCCTTTATGGCCACCATGTACCCATCCTCTGATGGCTACTTCCACCATGTCACAAAGCTCTAATCATTTCAAATTGGTTTCTTGAACATGACAATGAGTTCACTGTACTAAAATGGCCTCCACAGTCACCAGATCTCAACCCAATAGAGCATCTTTGGGATGTGGTGGAACGGGAGATTCGCATCATGGATGTGCAGCCGACAAATCTGCGGCAACTGTGTGATGCCATCATGTCAATATGGACCAAACTCCCTGAGGAATGCTTCCAGCACCTTGTTGAATCTATGCCACGAAGAATTGAGGCAGTTCTGAAGGCAAAAGGGGGTCCAACCCGTTACTAGCATGGGGTACCTAATAAAGTGGCCGGTGAGTGTATATATCTCTTTTAATTAGCTTCTTTATTTATTTACCTTTGTAATAATTACTCAAACAAACCAAATTACTACCACTTTGACGACTCAAAAAGTTAATCCATATGAATTGAGTGGTTTAGTCTAAATTTTCTTAAGAGACTCGATCGCTTTATATGATAAACAGATTGAATTTAGGTGCTTTTTTCACATATAAACATTCATTAACACATAACACATTCGTTATGGTCAACGGAACCAACCATGTTTGCTTTACGTGCACATCAAGCAGGTTCAGTTGAGCTTCTGTTTATGTTCGCTGATCAATGTTTATATGTGAATAAAAGCCTAAGTTAAATCTGTTGATCATAAAGAGATCGAGACTCTTCAGAAAATTTGGACTAAAATGCTCAATTCATATAGCCTGGTAATACCAGACTCTGCTACTTCACTTTGCTTCGTAGACAGAGTCTGGAATGGCATAATAGAGAAGTGTTTTCTCTCTCGCTAGGGGGCGCTTGTCTGAAGTTTAAAATCATTGGTTACCCGTAAGCCAATCAGATAAGTCTATTTATGCTGTATGTTATGCGCCGACACAGCCGCATCGACCCACAGACATCATGCATCGAACTCAAATCTATGATCGAACTTCCACTGTAAACCTGCTGTATAGATAGATTAGAAGCGGTTCAGTTTGTTTTCCGAATAAAGCATCACAGTGAAGATGTTATACCACCTATACACAGAGACACAAAAACACATGGCGATGTTGAGGAGATCTCACCTGTGCCGATGCTCGTCGTGAGCTCCCACGCCATGTATGACCTGTCTGCTGCTGTGCCTCGCCTCCTTCTCTGACTCGATGTGCGGTATCAACACGTCCTCCAAGCCAAAGTCAAAGCGCTTGTGTTTGGAATTGTCCGGAAGGAAGAAAAACGCTCCGAAGCACAAGGTGATGAAGGCACTGAGGATGAGGAGGAGGATGAACTTCTCGGAGAGCCGTAAGGTGGCTCTGTGATGGGGGAATGAGGAGGCACCTGGCGAGAGGGTAGGTATCCTACGTCCCGAGAGTGGCAATAGAGCCGGCGTGGTCATATTTTGATGATGAACTGGAATATGGTGGGATAAGTGTCAAGGTTGTTTTTGTGTAAGCCACACTATTATCTCATTGCGGTAAAAGAGAGCTTTACTGCCAAATGTCTTCTTATCATAGAAATTGAGTTGTCCTGTAGATCACAACTGATTCCACTTGCTCTGAAAACAAACACATTTTCAGATACTGACTGTCATAAGACATTCAACAGAAGCTTGCCATTAAAAATGAACTTCAGTTTCCATGGCAATTATGTTAAGCAGCAGAAAGGACATGAGTCTAAATTTTATTAAATAACAGGTAGCTCCAGGAATCTAATTTGATTCCTCTGTTCTAGACTAGTAGTCACAAGTAATTTGGTCTATTATTTGTGCAATATATTTGTGCCCTTAAAGTGTAGTCGGAAATATCGTAATTAAGAGCGAGTATGAATGACTGAGCAAAGTTGCATTTACAAGTGGGAAACTGTTCTAGATGATACACAAGTTGTGACATTGAAAGGGGAGTGACGATTTGAAACATGGCAGAGACACTGATATATAATATTATGTAATATATAATCTATACACAGAGATCTGTGAGCAGAAAGCACGTCTGTAGCAAACGGTGTCAAATCACTCAAGTTTCATGGTCTGCTTCACATTTAGTTGTGATACCATATATAAGTCAGTGATTGCTATTTGGGTTTATTCACACATTTTGTTTTGTTCTGTTTTGTTTAGGCTGCCATGTTATGTTTCCACCATGAATTAGTGATGTCATAATAACAAAAGGCAGATTTGGAGGTATGAGTTTCCCATGTGCACTTGAAGTTAGCAATAGATAGTGAGATTGGTATGCTAATACTAGTGTACAGTTTAGACAGCCTTGCATACTGACTACAACATTTGGTTTGAAACTTACTACGACAGTATGTAGTACAAAGTATGTGCTTTATAGTATGAATATGGGTAATATGAATGAAATTCAGATGTTGTACATCCGCCATTTTGTCATGTGACCTACTAACATCAGTTGTATCACTTCACTGCCATTCACAACGCCGCTCTCATGGCCTCATGGGATAGTAAAGATGGGAATTTCACCAAAAGTAGTAGATTGTTTGGGTAATTTAATTTACAGTTTTATAAATTTGGACATACTACTTATCTCACATACTGTTTTTCACCAACTATATAATAGGGAAGTAGACTGATTTAGAAGCAGGGAGAGGCTTTCTGAGCCAAGAGGGGAAATCTGTGTCGCTCCGCTTCACTCAAATATGCTGATCTAGGCCAGCTTTTAGTCTGTTTTGCTTGGTGACAGGCAAAGCCTGGTGTTTTGGCTAATTTCAGTACTATTTTTGTTGGTGGAAAAGAAATATACCAACTAATCAGTCAAATGTTGTCTGAACGCAAGTTACTTAAGATATTAATTAGCCTATACTCTATACTGAACTCTATAAAATTACACAACCAATTTTGCTGTTTTACAGAATAAGAGCAATGCTGTAAATGTGATTACCTGCAGTAGGCCTACTGTGTAACACTCTAGCTCGTGATACATTGCTTAATTATAAGGATTAAATCCTTTTCCCTACTAATACTCCACCCATTAATTACATACATGGGCTTTTGGTTCACACTATACAAATGGTCTACATTTAAAGACAAAAAATCATCATGAGGACGCAAGCATACATTATGGTCCAAAACTACTTTAAATATTGTTTATTAGATGGTCTTGTTTGGACTATCATGCCCTGACACAGCTTCACATTCATGTCAAACACGGGTAGAGTCAAACAAGCAAAGACGAGTAACCGTTCAAATGAGATCAGCATTATATCAAAATAACAATCATCGGAATGAACATGCGCCAAATATATAAAATTCGGCACATAGACAGTACTCTTATCAGACTTTCAGCATGACAATGTGACACCTGTACTACAAGTGCTTGTGCTTCATTACAGCGCCACATCAAGCGTTTCGTGCTCAAAACGCAGGTAGCCTATATTTAACATCAGCCAGGATTTTTATTACCATTTTATTACTATATTTACAGATATATGGTTAAATGTGAGCACATACCGTGAGGGTCTTTTTATCATTCTGATCCATGATCCTCGCTTTGATCCAAACGCTTTCTCGGTGTCGAGCCGGGTTGGGTCAAGTCGTTATCTTCACGATAAACGGCGAGTCCGCCCTCACCGCCCGTAAGGCGTATTTATCTTAAACTAGCAATACGTTTTCGATAGGGAAAAAAAAACTGTTCGATATGAGAATATAGTAACGCAACCTAGGAGAACATAAAGCAAACTGACCGACCGGATAGTGAACACAATGTTACAGCTCTAAGAGCTTTCCTTCTGCGTGTTAACGATAAAAGTTCCCATCACATCATCATGAGCTTCAAACGGTAAATATCGCGGAGCGCGCGGACGGTGTTTCAGCACAGGCCTGATCTGCTAGATGCCGTGGCAGCGTCTCTGAACCGGAGAGCGATATCGAGAGCCGATACAATATTGAAAGTAAACCACGGGTGTGTCGCAACCGCTGGGGGATCCTCTCTACATAATGCCCTATTTTAATAAAATATCAAGCCGGCCTGCGCTGGACGTGTGCTGTGCCTTTTTCATCCAGTAAAGGCATTCAGCTGGCAGCCGTGTAGAGGACTGATCCCGTCCGGCAGCTGCTGCATCACCTTGTCGGTGCCTCGGGATAAATCGGCGCCATAGACCGTAAATCCACAATTAATGCCTGAAAGTTGCCTGGCTCACGTTTATGCCCCTGCTTCTATGCACTGAAACATTCGCGAATGCCACCACCGCCTCCCATATGTCTTCGTTCCTCCTTATTTCTGTAGCCGTGTGCGCCGCCAGGCTCTAATATCCAGGATGTTGTTACTGCAACAGCTACTCCTCCTCTCAGTCCTCCAACATCCAGTCAGCTGCCGTTTGGTAAAGCCAGGGAGCGTCGCTCAAGTACGAGTCTCTCTGGGCAACGCAAAATGAATAGCGGTAGACTGTGGACGGTAGAGAAAATAGAGCATTTATAGGAGTAATTTTTCAGAGTTCCTAATTTTTTGTCTACTTTCTTTGTTTTTCTGTATGCTTGTTTATGTTCATGTTCAATTTGCTGTTTATGAAAAATATGCATGACTAGATTTCTGATGAATATTGAGATGAATATTAGTTGCATGCATATTATAATTATTTAAATAATGATTAATAAATGATTAATAATTATCAATACAAATATTAAAAAATAATAAACAAAAATATTTCAAAAATAAAAACAATGAAAAATGATTTGAATGCATTTGATTCAGGTTTAATTTTGCGATAATGAATGATCAAGTATATATATATTGCTTTATGACATTAAGTAACAATTTTCCATATTAATTTGTGATATAAAGTCGTAAACAAATATCTGAAAATTCGTAGATTTTTTTTTTTTGCGCAGCATTTGTGTTCAACTTTGCGTTTTAAAAATACAACAAACGTTCATTTTTCGTTTTGCAATTACGGGTTAAATAAGGGAAAACGAATGGACACAAAAGTACACTGACCGTTTGGACATAATACGAGACAGAGTTCTTTATTAAATTCATAAAAGAAACAATAATTACAGGAATAGCCTACTGGACTAAACCTCAAAGAAATGCCACAGTCAAGGCCTCGGAGCAGAAATGAGGGAGACACACTCAGGAACTCTGTGTCTTTCCTTGCCATTAATGCTTGGATAGCATACCACGTCTCCTTCCATTAATAATAATAAAGTCTAGTGCTGTGGCTGTCTGTGATATAGGCTATAAACCTACCAACGTCCGTTGCCATGATTTTTGGAATGACTTATCGCGAGAGGGAAAAAAGACGTTTTAGTCGCATAACATCGGTTAAGGGAAATGCCGTCATTTCGCAATAGTTTTTTATCGACATTTAGAAAAAATCGCAGAAGTTTTGCGAAAATCTGTAATGGAAACGCGCCTAATGGCGAGCGAAAGAGAGAGAATGTTGTTGCAGCTGGAGCTAATCGACGTTGAACCACAAATGATTTTATTGCAAATGTTTAATCGCAGAAGAATCAAACGTTCCTCAACTTGATCCATCGTTGAAACAAACAGTGCAGTCAGTGGTCACTTTAAAAAATGGCGGTATAGCGGGAGGGGGAAAGGGGGAAACCGGAAAAGCTACACTCCGGAAATGATGTATAATCTCACCATCTGCAACCAGATTTCAAAATCGGTTAGGATTTTAAAACTCCTGTAGTGTGAGCGAGGCTAAAATCGGGGCTAAAATCGGCCTAATTATCCTGCCGTGTGAACCAGGCTTTACTTGTTTTTAAAATGACAATTCTGTCAGTATACTCTCACCCTCATGTTGTTCCAACCCCGTAAGACTTTCGTTCATCTTCAGAACACAAATTAAAGCCTCACTCACACTACAGGAGTTTTAAAATCCTAACCGATTTTGAAATCTGGTTGCAGCTCACACTTAAGGAGAATCTTTGCAGATTTTCTTACCTCAAATCTTAAACATGCTCACACTACAAGATTTGAAAATCGTGGCGCATCACACACTACACAATGTTATAGAGGGAATGCGTTAACGTCACTTCCCCGCCGGAACACGCCCCCCTCAGCGGGACTGAGTGGCAGAAGAGCTGCTGCGTGACTGGAGTTAATAGGGGAAACTGCGTTAACGCGAGTAAAACAAACTATTATCAGTTTAAACTAAAAGTTGGACTCGATATAGCGTTCCTTACAACTTATCAAAGATCCAGTGATCCATGGATATTGACATGCAGCCAGGAATCGTGTTTCCTGACATTTATATGTGCCTGATTTCGACGCCGGGGAAATAAATGAAGACAATTTGCCTGTAAACGTTTTATATAAATACAATATAGATAGGTCTAAATCCGAGTGATCACTTACATTAATGTTATACTGTATATCATCATATCGTCCAGCCCTAAAACTTGTATAGTTTTTTGTCAGTGTTTATTTAAAAACATCCAATTATGCAGAATATAGTCTGTTCTGTAGCTTTTTGCAGTCTGTAAAAATATACAGTACCTCAGATTTCTGGTCAAATCTAGTTGTACAGTCAATCGCAAAGCTCTTTCCCGTTTTAGATGTGTTTTGTGTGATTTTCACGGCTTTCACGCTGAAAACAAATGCTGCCGCTCAGTCTTTTTGCCACTTGTGGGCGTGACCGCATTCACTCCGGCCGACGGTGACGTCATGCGCATACCCTCTATTAAGATTCGTGCCAGAGAAAGCGCCTCACGTGATCTCACGCAACAGATCGGAAGCGGAAAGGTGGATGTAAACAAAATATCTGTCCTTCATATCAAGTCATATTCGTGAAAAGGTTGCCGTGTGACTAAGGAAAGCGAAATCTTTAAAAAAAATCATCCTTTTAATAAGGATATTTCTAATGAATGGCGTCAGCTCTGTTCAATACAATGAATCAATGCCATAGATCTCTAAGGTAACGCATCAGCAGCGTTGCTCAATGCCCATTGCTGCTCAGCTGAGCATTGTAAAGTGGAGCTCAAAGTTAAAATTAAAATAATTAACAGCTTGTTTCATTTAACCTATCTTTGAATGAATATAACTTTATAATGAATATAAATATTTTATAATGAAAATATTTTTGTGTAGGCCTAGGCCTAATTCTGTGAATTACACTGTGCAAACCAAAGTAATAGCCTACAGTAGCTACTACCCACCGGATGAAGAAAGGGCTCTCAGTCTCCACAGAACATAAAATATTCATATTATTTTATTTTTCGTGTTGGCATTTGAGGAAAAAACAATGTCACGGACATGACCGCTCTAAGCGACTTTAAAATATGCTTTAAAACTTTCACAAAGACATCAAACAGAAAGCACAAAACCTTTCTTTAAATCGAATTTCGTTTTGTATTAATTGTATCTTAATTTTAAACAATGTTTCATCAACCAATTGCCTGGATTTTTATAAATAGGAAGTAAATAGCTATAGCAGACGATAGATAATCACGAAACGGAGGCGTCGGCGATACTTGATAAATTAACCGAAACTCAGCGTATAAGATAGCCTACTTGCCTCACAGACATGTCTACTTTTAAACAGAACAATTCAAAACGAAAGAAAACAGACTACAGACTGCACTCTGCTTATGTAATCCGTATGAAATGTGCATTTCTCTCTGGCGCGTTCACTACTGAAGATCGCGTGCATCCTGCGGAAGACGGAAGAGTTGCAGATGGTTCAGGATCGATATCGAAAAATCTATATTTTTGACAACACTAGATTGTAGGCTACTTATTATTTCAGATGCCTTTATTATGCATTTAGTATTTTATTATTATTTATTATACTGTATTATGCTTATTTATTTAGCAATAAATGGATAAATGGAGATAATGCGCGCATCGCGCTGTTGAGTCACTCAAAATTACCTCAATGGAAATTCCTTCACCATGACAGCCCTACTTATTGGCTATTGTGACAGTACTGACGTAATCACAATCTTGCTCATCCCGATAAATATCAAACATGTTTGAAATGATCGGGGCGAGCCCGATTTATGTAAGAGCAGATCGGGAGGTGCAAGATTCGATCTGTGAATGCCTCACATTACCAGATAATCTGTGCCGAACATCGGAATCGATCGAGGTCCTCGACAAGATTTTTTCTCCGATTCTCGGGAGGGGAAAATCGGGCATAAATCGGCCTAAAACTCCTGTAGTGTGAGCCAGGCTTTAGATATTTTTTATTAAATCTGAGAGCTGGATCAATCCTCCCTAGGCTCCAAGGGATTGAAACTTGCCGGCCCAGAAAAGTTAAAGACATCGTTAAAATAGTCCAAGTGACTACAGTGGCTCAATCTTAAGTTTATCAAGCGACGAGAATACTTTATGTGCGCACAGACAAGATAAAACAGAAGTGTCAGGGCTCTGTCACAAACCCAAGAAATTGACTAGACAGAAGTGACAGAACCCTGACAATGTTAGCCTTACTGTGTTTGTTATCTATAAGCTAGTGTGCTCCAAAAATATGACATTTCACATTTAGAAGACCAAACCCAACGTTGAAAATGAAAATCAGGTTGATGTCAGAATCCAATGCCAGATTGACATTAATCTTCTACGTTGGACATGTTCTGATCTGACGCCAATTCGACGTTGGGTTCTGACGTCAAACGACTTCCATTTCCAACCAAAATGCAACCCCTGCAACCAAAATCA